GTCTCCTTTTGAGGTACTTAACAAGTGTAAGCCATTACTTGAACACATTAAAGTTTTTGGATGTGTTTGTTACGTGTTTCTTACAGAAAATCAACGCGGTAAACTGGATGCACGGAGTCAAAAGTGTATTCTTGTTGGGTACTCTACCACACAAAAGGGCTATAAATGCTTTGATCCAATTGCCAATCGTGTTCGAGTGTCAAGGGAAGTGCAATTTCATGAAGATCTAAGCTACTATGATATTCAATCATGGAACACGATTGAAGACCTTCCTACATCTCAAGAAGACAAGTTTTAGATCACATGTTACACCCTACTAACGAACTCCAACAACACTGTCAATCATCAAGCACCTGCACCCCATCTTCATCTCAGTCTAGTGAGGATGCCGCCAAAGAGGATTCCCAAGTGGATTGTGAGGTACCGACTGTATCACAAGACTTTGTTTCAACTGATAACGTTACACCTTTTCAGGATGATAACAACAATGACAACCACGACTCAACATTGCAAGATGACATGGAGACAAGCTCACCTGAATCAGAGGTGTCCTCCTCAATGGAGCAATCTCACTCAATTGATCCTCCCAATCCTCCTACACTTCGCAGAAGCACTAGGCCACGCGCACCAATCTCTGAATGGAGTAACCGTCGAGTCTACTACAATGGGTATGCTGTTGCATACCCCATTCAATTCTATGATGATTGTTCTTCTTTTCCAAATTGTCATCAGGCTTTCCTAAGTCTAGTTGAAAGTGAAGATGAGCCTTCTTCTTATGAAGAAGCCAAACATATCCATGTGTGGCACACAACAATGGATGAGGAAATTCAAGCTCTGGAACGCAATGGCACTTGGGAAGTGGCCACTCTACCCGACGGCAAACGTCCAGTTGGTTGCAAATGGGTATACAAGGTGAAACACTTGAGTAATGGGGAGGTTGAGCGATATAAAGTACGGTTAGTTGCTAAAGGTTTTACTCAAACTTATGGGGAAGACTATACTGACACATTTGCCCCTGTTGCTAAATTATCTTCTGTTCGTGTCATTTTATCCCTTGCTACTAATTTTGATTGGGAGTTGTGGCAGATGGATGTCAAAAATGTTTTTCTTCAGGGGGAACTAACTGAGGAAGTGTATATGGTTGCACCTCCTGGTTATCAAGATACAACTGTAATTTGCGACACCTTTTGCGACCGAAATTTATGTCACAATATATTTTGCGACAGACCGCGACTAAAAAGCGACACAATCTCGGAAAAATATCTCTGTCGAACTTGGACGCAAAATCTGTCGCAACTTTTCGACCGACTACGACCGATATATCTGTCGCACATATTTGCGACAGAAAGACGACGGAAAACGACAGATACTTTACGACAGATTGTCTGTCGGTATATACCGAAAGAATTTGCGACAGATATGTTCGGTCTGACCATTTGCGACAGATATTATGCGTCGCGGAAATTATGCAACCGATATGCGACATACTATAGGAGTCGCTCAATATATGCGACCGAGGTGCGACTCACCGATGTGTCGCAAAATTAGGTACATACGTGAATGGTATGTCACCTAACTTCTGTCGTATTTCTGTCGCATTTCGGTCGCAAATCATTTTACTACAGAAAATATCGGTCGCAATTCCGTCGCAACGTTTCTTCTATATACTCGCCGCGCGATGAGCATGCATAGATAGGAAAAAAAATTACTACCGAAAAAAAAAATTTATTTACAAAAAAATGTCTTTTGCATCCAGAATGTGGATGTATAATAGATTTGATTCTTCTAATCAAATCTCGAGTGAGTTTGCTGAAGGATTACAACATTTTATGGCGTTTGCAACAAGTCAAATGTCGTATATTGAGAATTCGAAGTTACCATGCCCGTGCTCAAAATGCGAGAATAAAAGATGGCGAAGTCAGTATGAAGTGTGTAAGCACCTTTATAGAAGAGATTTTATGTCAATCTATTATGTTTGGTTGGCTTATGGAGAAACGTATGATACGTCGTCATCATCACGTGTTTCACAAATGCAAGAACAACTTGTGGAAAACACGTCGCTACCTCCGATCTTTCAAGAAGATCAAGACCGAAATCTATATGCAGAGATGGTGAATGATGCATTTCCCAACGTTGCTCCTTCTCCATATATGGAAGAAGAGCCAAATGTTGAAGCGAAAAGATTTTATGATATGCTTAACACCGCGAACACTCCGATATATGAAGGTTGCGTACAAGGGCTGTCAAGATTATCATTATCTTCACAATTGATGAATATGAAGACTGACTACAATCTTCCGGAGAGATGTATGGATGGCTTCAGTCAGATGTTTAAACAGTATCTTCCGGAAGGTAACACTGCAACAGAATCATATTATGAGACGAAGAGTCTGATGCGTACGTTGGGACTACCTTACCGGAAGATTGATGTTTGTGAAGACAACTGTATGATTTTTTGGAAAGAAGATGCAGAATTGATAGAATGTCGTTTCTGCGGGAAAGACAGATATCGACCACGCCGGAAAGCTTCAAAAAAAGGCAAGTTAATTCCTTTGAAGAGAATGTTTTATATGCCTATAACAGATCGTTTGAAAAGGTTATATCAATCCGAAAAGACAGCATCATTTATGCGATGGCATGGCGAGCATTCGACGCCTGATGGAGAAATGCATCATCCATCCGATGGTTTAGCATGGAAACACTTTCAACAGGTATTTCCTGATTTTGCAAGTGAGACTAGAAACGTATATCTAGCATTATGCACGGATGGATTTAATCCATTTGGGATGTTTGGTCCAAATTATTCTCTATGGCCGGTGATTTTAACACCGTACAATTTACCTCCGGACATGTGTATGAATAGAGAATTTTTATTTCTCTCAATATTAGTTCCGGGACCTAAACATCCTAGGAGGAGTTTGGATATTTTCCTTCAACCGTTGATAGAAGAGTTGAAAGACCTTTGGAGTATTGGGGTTGAGGCATACGACGTGTCAATAAAGCAAAATTTTTTGCTTCGTGCCGTACTGATGTGGACAATTAGTGATTTTCCAGCATACTCGATGTTGTCTGGTTGGACAACGCATGGTCGGCTAGCTTGTCCGTACTGTATGGATGAGACCGACGCATTTTGGTTGCCGAACGAGAGAAAAACGAGTTGGTTTGATTGTCATCGTCGTTTCTTGTCAAGGAATCATGCATTGCGCCGAAACAAGAAGAATTTTCGTAAGAATCGCGTGGTAAGTAATTCTAGTCCGCTTGAACTGACGGGAGATGAAATATTATTCGAACGGATTGAAGACTGTGTGAGATCATATGGGTTAGGGGTTACTACAGAAGTCGGTGGAAATGGTCATTTGCCGATTCAAGGATATGGCGAATATCATAATTGGCACAAAAAAAGTATATTTTGGGAATTGCCATATTGGAGACATCACAAGTTGCGACACAATCTTGATGTCATGCATATCGAGAAGAACTTTTTCGATAACATCATAAACACGGTGTTGAATGTACCTCAAAAGTCGAAGGACAATCCAAACTCAAGGAAGGATATAAAATCAATTTGTTTGAGGAAGGAGTTGGAACTTACAGAAGATGGGAAGGCACCGGTTCCAGTTTTTCGTGTATTTGGAGAAGCGCAGAAGAATTTTTTTCGGTGGTTGAAGGATGATATAAAATTTCCTGATGGTTACTCTTCAAATCTGGCGCGATGTGTTGATATTGGAGGGAATAAATTAACGGGTATGAAAAGTCATGATTGTCATGTCTTTATGCAACGATTGCTTCCAATAGCATTTGCAGAACTACTTCCACATCATGTACACGAGAGTCTATCAGGTATGTCAATATATTTTTTTAATGTTGTTTTTTAATATGTGAACTATATATATATAAACTTGATACGTGGTTATTGTGCAGGGATCAGCTCATTTTTTCGGGTGATTTGCAGTCGGACGCTTAAACTTGAAGATATCACCATGTTGAAACAAAACATAGTTCTGGTAATTTACAATCTGGAAAAAATATTTCCACCGTCATTTTTTGATGTGATGAAACATTTACCAATCCATTTACCACGAGAAGCAGAACTTGGTGGACCAGTTCAATTTCGGTACATTATAATTAATTACTGTGTTTCGTTTAATTAATATATAAGACTTAATCCTCTGCATACTTGTTTAAATAACTGATGATTGTTTAATTTTATTTTTTTTAGGTGGATGTACCCGTTTGAAAGATTTATGTACCATTTGAAGAAAAAGGCAAAACAAAAAATCTTTGTTGAAGGATCAATTGCTGAACAGTATATCAATGAGGAAATATCATTCTTTACCTCATATTATTTTGAAGATAATGTGGCAACAAAGAGCAGAAGTACAAGAAAATCATCCCATTGCGATGATGGCCCTAGTTATCCGACGAATGCAAATATTCCCCATATATTTGACAGAAAAGGAAGATGTGGTGGTAACGCCAGCGATGCCTACTTATCTGAAAAAGACTATCATGTGGTACATACTTTTGTATTGTTGAATTGCGAAGAAGTACTACCTTTTGAAAGGTTCGTTTATACATTTAATTATTTATGGCGTACAATTTTGTTACATTAATTCATTTACAAGTTTTTTTCATTTTATTTTGCAGGATTTTTGATGAACAAGTATACAACATGTATGGTGACGTAAATGACGAGGAATTGACCAAAATTAAAGAAAAAGGGTTTGCTACGTGGTTAAAAGAATATGTAAGAATTTTTCATCAAATTTCTTATTTAAACCCATTTTTAAGATCGATCAAGTATATATTGATATTTAAACAACCTATTTTTTCTTTGTTTTGCAGATTCGAACGTCACCAGAAGATCATCCATTGTGGTTGCATGAGCAGTTCAATGGCCCATTTGTCATGTTACATGTTGGCCTATATTTTTTACCAGAGGCTACGTTTTCCACACACATGAACACGGACAACATCGTTCGACACATAATTTTGGTGTTTCTGTGAAAGGGTCAGAGTACTATGCATCTGATAACGAACCCGATTTTTACGGACTACTGCAGCAGATTTTTGAACTCCAATATGCAGGTCATTTTGGACTCAAAGTGATGATGTTCAGATGTGATTGGTTTGATCCTACACCCATGAGAGGGATCAGAGTCAACAAAACAGGTGTTTTTGACATATGTTACACACGTCGATACGGAAAATATGATCCTTTTATATTGGCTTCTCAAGCAGATCAAGTGTGTTACATCCCTTATCCAAAGAAAATTACAAGAAGGTCAGACATTGATTGGCGAGCCGTCGTGAAGATCAACCCCAGAGGAACTATTATTCAAGAAGAAAATGATGAACAAATCCCGCTTCAAGATGTCGATCAAGGCATTCTTATTTGAAGAAAAAGGCAAAACAAAAAGCCTTTGTTGAAGGATCAATTGCTGAACAGTATATCAATGAGGAAATATCATTCTTTACCTCATATTATTTTGAAGATAATGTGGCAACAAAAAGCAGAAGTATAAGAAAATCATCCCATTGCGATGATGGCCCTGGTTATCCGACGAATGCAAATATTCCCCATATATTTTACAGAAAAGGAAGATGTGGTGGTAAGGCCAGCGATGCCTACTTATCTGAAAAAGACTATCATGTGGTACATACTTTTGTATTGTTGAATTGCGAAGAAGTTCTACCTTTTGAAAGGTTCGTTTATACATTTAATTATTTATGGCGTACACTTTTTTTAAATTAATTCGTTTACAAGTTTTTCGATATATTGTGCAGGATTTTTGATGAACAAGTATACAACATGTATGGTGACGTAAATGATGAGGAATTGACCAAAATTAAAGAAAAAGGGTTTGCTACATGGTTAAAAGAATATGTAAGAATTTTGCATCAAATTTCTTATTTAAACCCATTTTTAAGATCGATCAAGTATATATTGATATTTAAACAACCTATTTTTTTTTGAAACTATTATTCAAGAAGAAAATGATGAACAAATCCCACTTCAAGATGTCGATCAAGGCCTTCTTCAAATTGAAGACACGATTGAGGTTGGAAAGTTAATAGCCGAAGTTGAGAAGCCAATATAAAAGGATCATATTTTCCGTATCGACGTGTGTAACATATGTCAAAAACACCTGTTTTGTTGACTCTGATCCCTCGCATGGGTGTAGGATCAAACCAATTACACCTGAACATCATCACTTTGAGTCCAAAATGACCTGCATATTGGAGTTCAAAAATCTGCTGCAGTAGTCCGTAAAAATCGGGTTCGTTATCAGATGCATAGTACTCTGACCCTTTCACAGAAACACCAAAATTATGTGTCGAACGATGTTGTCCGTGTTCATGTGTGTGGAAAACGTAGCCTCTGGTAAAAAAATATAGGCCAACATGTAACACGACAAATGGGCCCTTGAACTAGCTCATGCAACTACAATGGATGATCTTCTGGTGACGTTCGAATCTGCAAAACAAAGAAAAAATAGGTTGTTTAAATATCAATATATACTTGATCGATCTTAAAAATGGGTTTAAATAAGAAATTTGATGCAAAATTCTTACATATTCTTTTAACCATGTAGCAAACCCTTTTTCTTTAATTTTGGTCAATTCCTCATCATTTACGTCACCATACATGTTGTATACTTGTTCATCAAAAATCCTGCACAATATATCGAAAAACTTGTAAACGAATTAATTTAAAAAAAGTGTACGCCATAAATAATTAAATGTATAAACGAGCCTTTCAAAAGGTAGAACTTCCTCGCAATTCAACAATACAAAAGTATGTACCACATGATAGTATTTTTCAGATAAGTAGGCGTTGAGCACGCCTCAAGGACATCATTTATCGGGTAAAGAGCAGACGCGTACGACCTGCATGGATGTCGACGGCGATCTACGATCAGCTAGTTGAATATTGGGATTCAGAAGAAGGAACGCAGAAGAGTCAAACATTCTCAATTTTCACCATGCTGAAACAAAACATAGTTCTGGTAATTTGCAATCTGGAAAAAATATTTCCACCGTCATTTTTTGATGTGATGGAACATTTACCAATCCATCTACCACGAGAAGAGAACTTGGTGGACCAGTTCAATTTCGGTACGTTATAATTAATTACTGTGTTTCGTTTAATTAATATATAAGACATATATATGCATACTTGTTTACATATATAACTGATGATTGTTTAATTTTTTTTTTAGGTGGATGTACCCGTTTGAAAGATTTATGTATCATTTGAAGAAAAAGGCAAAACAAAAAGCCTTTGTTGAAGGATCAATTGCTGAACAGTATATCAATGAGGAAATATCATTCTTTACCTCATATTATTTTGAAGATAATGTGGCAACAAAGAGCAGAAGTACAAGAAAATCATCCCATTGCGATGATGGCCCTGGTTATCCGACGAATGCAAATATTCCCCATATATTTTACAGAAAAGGAAGATGTGGTGGTAAGGTCAGCGATGCCTACTTATCTGAAAAAGACTATCATGTGGTACATACTTTTGTATTGTTGAATTGCGAAGAAGTACTACCTTTTGAAAAGTTCGTTTATACATTTAATTATTTATGGCGTACAATTTTTTTACATTAATTCATTTACAAGTTTTTTTCATTTTATTTTGCAGGATTTTTGATGAACAAGTATACAACATGTATGGTGACGTAAATGACGAGGAATTTACCAAAATTAAAGAAAAAGGGTTTGCTACGTGGTTAAAAGAATATGTAAGAATTTTTCATCAAATTTCTTTTTTATACCCATTTTTAAGATCGATCAAGTATATATTGATATTTAAACAACCTATTTTTTTTTTGTTTTGCAGATTCGAACGTCACCAGAAGATCATCCATTGTGGTTGCATGAGCTAGTTCAAGGGCCCATTTGTCGTGTTACATGTTGGCCTATATTTTTTACCAGAGGCTACGTTTTTCACACACATGAACACGGACAACATCGTTCGACACATAATTTTGGTGTTTCTGTGAAAGGGTCAGAGTACTGTGCATCTGATAACGAATCCGATTTTTACGGACTACTGCAGTAGATTTTTGAACTCCAATATGCAGGTCATTTTGGACTCAAAGTGATGATGTTCAGATGTGATTGGTTTGATCCTACACCCATGCGAGGGATCAGAGTCAACAAAACAGGTGTTTTTGACATATGTTACACACGTCGATACGGAAAATATGATCCTTTTATATTGGCTTCTCAAGCAGATCAAGTGTGTTACATCCCTTATCCGAAGAAAATTACAAGAAGGTCAGACATTGATCGGCGAGCCGTCGTGAAGATCAACCCCAGGGGAACTATTATTCAAGAAGAAAATGATGAACAAATCCCACTTCAAGATGTCGATCAAGGCCTTCTTCAAATTGAAGACACGATTGAGGTTGGAAAGTTAATAGCCGAAGAAGGAATAGTTGAAGAACTTGCAGACAATAATGACGAAGAGCAGGACAATACCGATGAGTCGGACGAAAAAACAATAGGAACTTCTGAATATGGTTCGTTTGATTAATAATAACTTTTTTTTATGTATAAAATATCGATTTGTATTACAAATATTGTACTAGAAATCAAAATATTAATTATCGTAAATTTTTGCATTTTATTTTTTTTAATTATTATATTATTTTGCGACCGAAGATATCTATCGCAACATTGTCGCAAAATGTCGGCAATAATCTGCGTCTCCCGCTTTTTTTTTCGTTGCGACAAATGGCGACAGAATTAATCTGTCACAATGTCCACGTGTCTCCCGCTTTAATGACAAAGCGACAGATTGCGACAGAATAAATCTGTCGCAATGTTCTTAAAAACATCGCGAATCGTCTTCTTCCTCAGACACTTAGCCATTTCGAAACTTACCTCTCAAATCGCCGCCGCTCCTTCGCCGCCGCCAGGTAAGTTTCCGAACTCTTCTTCCCCTTTCTGATCGGTTTAGTGTATAGGTTCGTTGTTTTTTTTCTTTCGAATCGAATTTGGTTCGGTTTAGTGTTTAGGTTCGTCGCCGCTCCTTCGCCGCCGCTCCTTCCCCTTGCCGCATCACCGCGCCGGTCATTTGCCGTCACCGAGGTAAGTTTCCAAATTTTAATAAAAAAGTTTCCAATTGTTTCGATTTTTAGGTGTTTTTGGTTGGGATTTAAAGTTGTGGTCGAAATTTTTTGAGGGTTTAGAGTTAATTTTCGGGTTTAGGGGTTAATTTTAGCTTTTAGGGTTAATTTTTGATTTTAGGGTTAATTTAGAGTTTAGGGTTTATTTAGTGTTTTGGGTTTAATTTGGGGTTTATTTAGGTTTAGGGTTATTAGGGTTATGTTTAGTGAT